GGTTTTGTTTGAAGGACAAAGTTACAGTTGTTGTTGTGCAACACACATTTCCAACGTGTCCTTCTCAGGTGCTTGACATGACAGACTGAGCACATCAGATCACCAGTGATTGGCCTGGCATGCTTCCAGGGGGCTTTCTAATTGTTACAGCTGCTTTGATGGAGAAATATCCAATAACATCTCTGAAGTGGACAGGAGTCTTTTATTTTAAGAACCGAACAGAAGAAAACATCCTGTATAATTGCGGACAACATGAGGCAAGACTCCTCTCCTTTAAGATGCTGCTCACATCAGAGGGGTAGACTACCAGAGCATCATACATATTGGATTTAAAGTTTAAAACTAAGGTCAAACTTTTACAGACATCCCCTCAATCACACACAATATAAATCTCTAGCAGACAAAAAATCAAATGTGCTCCATGAGTATCAACACAATCCTAAAAAAAGTCTGAATTTGTTTACATTCAGATTATTTCACATGGTCACTGATTTATTACATATACAGAGAACTATATCCTAAAAATATCTGTGACCCCTTAGTATTTTTCCTACACGTTCCCCATAAATGTAAAGTCAGGATCAGACACAGCAGATTTATCCATCAAAGAATGAAAGAAATCAGATGACTGCAACATCCTGCATGTCTGCTATTCCATAATCCTTTGTAAATCAAGCATATTAAATCATCTTTGTCTTATGTCCCTGAGCAATCCTTCTTCCTGATTCATTAAACTGTCCTGGTCTTTGTACATCAATCTTGCATGTATGACTATAAAAGGAACAACACATAGGATGCAATATATCTCTACACACACATATCCTGTCTGACTGTACGAAGGAGTAAAGTTCAGGGAGATTTCCTCCACTGCTGCACAGCTCACCTTGAATTATTATAGCAAATTCAACATTTGATAACTTTTCACTGGTTAACAGGCTTTCTGTACTTTGTCTCCTGTATGTCTTACTTTTAAACAAGAGTTTTGAAAATGGCAGAATAATGAAGAAGCTCTAAATCTGATGGTCTCAGTCAGTTGTCAAGTTGTTCGTCAGTCAGTTCTGACAGAGGGAGACTGATCAGAGAAGAGGACCGATGCATGGGGCACCGTCTTATAGGGGACATGAAACACTCAACTGTATTTAAAAACTCACTTTCGGTACACAGCCAGCCCAATATTTGTTGTGCCGTCAAATGTGACATCATCGGATTGGTTCAGGCACATTCTCTAGTTAGGAATATACGTGGAAACAACACTCAAAATTAGTGGAAAAAAAGAGCAAAAATGGGTCCAAGAGGGACATGTTTTGATTTGCCCCTGGCTGCTCCAATGATTTTTCTTTTAGTTATAGACCAGGAGAAGACCGTAAACGTCATTTGCCAATGAAACGGCCAGTGATTCAACACTGATGCCCAGCAGCAATAAAAAGGATGGACCCTCACTTAGCAGGTATGCTAGGGTTTGAGCACTTTGTAGCTCAAGACTATGTCATGGAGAGTGTTTTTAATGAAGCAGGCGTTGTAACTTGTTGCTCAAAACGATTAAAATCAGAGGTATCTCCCTCTGTATTTGACTCTCTTTATGACACTGGGGCTACAGACCATCCCAATCTCATTGCAAAGAGGTGGGTATGCTCCTAAAGGAAAGAGCTAAACGGTTTGCCCAACTGGCAGAACAGAGGGAGGTAATCATGCAGCCAGCAAATGCTCAACCACCTATTTTCTTACTGTGGCATGACAGGAATTTCATGACCAAATCTTACATGATACCACAAAATCTGAATCCTAGAAATAGAAACCTGAGATTCTTACTCTAAGGAAACTGCTTGTATGTTAACTAGAGCTAGTTTTGCCATTACATTACATTTTATCATTACCACTACCAGTACCTAGCACATGCAAACTGTGTCATTAAAAGAAGATTTTCTCTAAAATGGCAGACTTTTCAAACACTACGGTGTGGGTTCATTTCATTGTTTCATGTCCCCTTTTAAGGCAGATCAAATAGAGTGTAGTCGTGTCTCGCTTTGTATGAGCTTTCCAATAAACCATCAGTTCATGTTTAAATTGGTCCATCTGTGGTTAAAATGGACTGGACTGAGTTTAAACTGTCATCAGATCTCTGGGAAACCTAAGGTTTTTCTAAATACTTTTTACAGTAGTTTTACCGCAGTGTCCCATCTTTTTTTTTTTTTTTTGGTTTTGCAGCATTACTTCAATGATGCAAAAAGCTGATGCTTTTAACTATCCCCCTGTGTAAATACCCAAATGTATGCACTCTTACTAAAAGGAAATATGGCTAGTTCAACTCCACTCTCTCAGAAAAATACCTCAGTGCCCAAACCTTTTCAAGATTTATGCTCCAAGTATTAGTCTGACTCTGGGAGGCAGTCATGCAGTTTCTGACAAATAGATTTAAACTCTTTCGGTATTTTTTCCAACTGGGTTAATAAGTTCATGAGTTGAATTTGGTCAGTCATGGAGGGATGAAGAGGCCTGTGGGTATAGGGAAGCTATGTATCGTGAGTGCTTTGCCAGATGTCCTTTAATCACTTCACAGACTGTCTGAGACAACAGCAGAGATGTTTGGGCAGATGGTGTGTGTGTGTTAGCCTGCAGAGGAGAGGGAATGGAAGCAATCAGAGAGCCATGTCACGTTTTTAGAGTGGACTTTTGATGATTCATAAAAATGCAGTTAAATTTATGTATGATGTACTGGTCCAGAGCAGAAAGTGGTTAAACACAGAGACCCAAATGTGTCAGGATGCCGACCCTCTCATGTTGAACTGATTGAATCAGGCTTGAACAGTAAAATCAGCCTTATAATATAATAATGTTTTATGGTCTAAGTGAAAAAGGACAGGTCTGGTAGATTGGGTTTGTTTTGATTTAATATGCAGTCATTTCTTTAAAGACTCACTCAGATGAAAACCGTGTTCTTGTTATCTTTATGTTCATATGTCATTTTTCTGATGCTCCAAGACATATGAGAAAACTAAGAGCAAAATTGAATTTCTGAGTTTTGCTTTATTCAAATCGCTGTGAATCTCTGGCAGACCCAAACGGCAGGTTCGGATACAGTGAGATTCCTACGTAGCAAATCCAAGTTCCACCCCCAGAGACCCGCTCTGCAGGCCAGACTCTGAGAAGCAGAAAGGATGATCACAGAACAAGTGTGTGTGTTTGTGGATTGTATGTTGTTTACTTTCATCATGTCCCCAAAGACATTAGTGTCTGAGAGCTGAATAGCTCCTTTATTACCGGCTTCTTCTACTTCACCTGCAATGATAGGCTGCAAGCTAGTGTGAAGAGGAGTGTGCAGAGCAGTGCTGTCTCTGCCCACAACTCAGAGGCGAATTGCTAATAAACTACTGGAGTGCTGCAGAAGAAAAGCCCTTTAAATGGCACAGGTAAGGTAATTTTGGCTAAAAACTTCATGAAAATTTAAAGACCTCTGAGAACACTAAAAATCATAAAAATATGATCGAGTGGGACTTTAATCAGAGGTTATATCAGTCTAAATCATATAACCACACCATCATTTATGTTACCATAAAAAAGATTCATTTTTCCAATTCCAACAGATGCTCAGTAAATTTATGTAAACATTATTATCGAATCTGATATTAAAATTCAAGTTCAGGTCTACGCTATTGTGCATGCATGGAGCATGGAATAACCCACAATGAGAAGGCAAAAAATAAAAATCACTCAGATCCCAAAATGTCCCAAAGCACATGGCCCTGAGTGCATGACACGCAGTGCAATGGGGTGTCAAGTGGATCTTCAAAGTTGTGGTTTTGGTTGTAGAATGAATTAAACCAATCAGTGTCCGCTCTCATTAATTTTAAGGGTCAGGTGCACCTGCTGGTACTGAAATATGAAGCTCTTCCCTGAAAAAGTCTTTGTCTGGATGGCAGCAGATGGTGCTCCTAAACCTGTAGATATTGTTCAGCATTAATTGAGTCTTCAAAGATGTGGAAGATACCCATGGCATGAACTCTGATGACCCCCACACCATCAGGGATGCTGGATTTGGTCTGAGATTCGAACAAGCCGGGTGGTCCCATTAATTTTTGGAGCAGAAAATATGGCCTCCATGATTTCCAAGAAGAATGTTTTGGGCAAATCTCAGTATGCGTTCTTCTGTGTTCGTGCTTTCTTGTCTCCTTGTGAAACGTCATCAGTCTCAGGAAGGTCTGAGGAAAACACCACCCTCATTGAGTGGCAGGCAGCCCTTGAAGCCCTATTTACCAGGCGGAGTAATATCTCCAAAAAGGGATGGGAGAGAGTGTGTTTTTTGTGTTTGTATGCCAGCCTTTTAGTGGCCAGTATGTGTTTCATTGTAACTATCTGACAAACTGCTGCATCAAAAAATAAACAAATGAATAAAGTGAGTGAATCATAGAAATAATCCAAAAATAAGATAGATAATGTGGTGATCAGATGTGACTCAGGTGGGCTGTTCAGCAGTATTGTGCACTATCAAGCTGTGCACTACTAAAGAGTCAAATCAAACTGTGAGAGGCACCACTACATCAAATATAATACAAATGATTTCATTATCAGCTCTGTCACAACAATGATAATTACAGAACTGTCACCCAACCAAATTGTAGTGTGTATGTATCCAACAGGTATTATTTTCACAATAAAATGCTGTACATATTTTCTGTGTATTAGAGTCTTTGTAATGGTATCATATGGTAATCAACCATTTTATCCCCCCCCCCCCCCCCGCAAAACAGTGTTGGAGATTCCATAGGACTGACGTAGGCTTTGTGCAGTACTTGCGCGATATTTATAACAGTCCAGATGTTTTTCTTTGTTGAATGCTTGCTTAAAAGTCATATTCATAAATGTATTATGAATGAACAATGTGAAACCTACCACAATGTTTTAGATTTCATTCATATGTTATTTTGTAGGAGTTTAGGGATCCCCCAACAGGGAAAGGGGTGGAGGCTAGTGGGGTGACCGCTGCCACCTGGACCTGGTACGGGATGATGGACGCTGCACTCCAAGGGCAGCATTCCATCAGGCTGCCCCCTGGTGTGGCAGCCAACCTGACCACCACTACAGGTGGTGTTGTCACCTCCCCGTTCTCTGACCCTCCCAGAGAAGGAGCACCACCGCCCAAGAAGAGGGCAAAAATAAGGGAAGGGCTCCTCAAATTCATGAAAGAGCAGGCAGAGAGGGACGAAACGCGAGAGAGGGAGGCAGTGGCCAGAGAAGAGGTGAGGGAAAGAGGAGCAGCAGAGAGGGCAGAGAGATATTTAAATCTATTTGAAAAACTTGTTGACAAATGTAAGTGTTTAATCTTATCATTTTGTTTGCAGTTGTTAGTTCAGGGTTATTAATGGAAGATTTGCGTTTTTTTGGTTCATTTAATAAATATGGTGCACATCTATGGGGATTGCATTCATTCCCTTAATTCACTAATTATGAAACACTTGTGCTTTATAATTAGAGTACTTTTTAGCTTTACCTGTAGATAGCTATTGGATTGACAAAACATTATTCGAAACAAAATGGAGTTTTTTTTTACCCGTTGCAATTTTATTCTATGAGTTGAGCATTAAAAAAAAAAACTGCTCATCGTCATGTACACAATCATTTTAATCAACAAAATGTTTAAAATATTTCATACACAACAATTAAACTCTCTTAAACTATCACACTTCACAACACTAACTGAAGTCAACTTTTATGATTTAACAACACAAAATTGACAATAAATGAACATTACTTTTGACAATATAATAATGATTACTTGAAAAATGATCAAATCTATTTGCTTTATTTAAGAACTATTTACATATCCAAACTATTTCTTATCTTAGTAATCATGCTCCCTTAAATGTGCAGGCAGCTCTCTGTTGGGAGCGGACACCTGTGCAGCCAGTCTGGCACGAAGGTTGACACTGGAGTGCTCGGTAGCATTTTCGATTGTACTGCTTCCCTGATCTCCCCCCTCATCATCTTGATGATGTTCCTCCTCCAGGATATCGCCTGTGGCCAGGCAGTGGTTGTGGAAGATGCAGCAGGCTGTGACCACCTTTGGGGCAAATACAGGCCAGATCTCCAAAGCCCATAAAAATATGGCTCTCCAGTGGGTCTTCAACATCCCAAAGGCTCGCTCCACCACATTTCTGGCTCTGGCGTGATGCTGGTTGAAGCGTTCCTCAACATGGCCTAATTGTGAAAAATACAGATAAGTACTTCTCATGTGAATGTTTCAATCTGATGGAAATTCCAGAATGCAAATGCATTGTAACAACTGATATGTGATGTAATAAACATTTTCCTCAGTCTTTTCTTACCTGCTAGGGGCTAGCGGTATGGCGTTATGATGGTGACTGGATGCCGCAGGCATGGGTACCCTCCATCCCTAAGAAGGACGTAGCCAGCTGGTGGATAAAGGGACTCTTTATACATGGGTGTACCTCATTGGAGTTTGATCTGTTTTTAAAAAAGAAACATATTTCAGTATGCAACTGTTAATTGTTTTTATGAACTGTTATGTTAATAAACTGAACTTGCTTCATCCCTCAGTGCCTGTGGATTGTTAAACTTCTTATGTGAGTGAACCTCCTGATACACGAGTTCTGAGTGTGCAGACTGTTGCCTTACTGAAATCGACTCACATACAGTCAATTACCACGCTACTTAGCTAGATCTATTTCTTTTCCATTTTAGATCCACAATTTGCACTTACTGTTACTGTAACTGGACCTTACTGTAATCACCACAGGTATCAATTGTCAAATAGTGATGGAAATGTGTTACATTGAGGGTGGTCCTGAAGTGTAACTGCACAGTAGAGGATTTAGTAACTCATGTTTTATCACTTGAAATCAAAAGAAATATATATAAATATACAGATGTAAATATACCACAACTATATATCTTTTGTTAATTTTAAAAACAGGTAATGAAATGATACTTTATAATTAATTACATAACTTGCACAACCAGAAACAAACGCCAGGACAGCATGACATCTGTTCCTCCTCCTCCTCATTCTGGCTCGTCGTACCTGCAATTGTCTTCTCAGCTCCAAAGCCTCTTTCTCTGCCTCTAGGTACAAATTACCAACAGCCAAAATCCTGGCTAATTTCTCCTTATTCATCTTGAAATTATGACCAAATAATGCTGTTGCAGAGTCAAACAGCCAGCTTTTAAAAAATCGCCTTCATCTCCTAATCGTTGTGGCTCGCGCTTGCTTAACTGATGTTAAAAAGTTGTCTCGAGCCGCGGCAGCTCTTTTATATATTCATTTTATTACAAACATCTGTGAAAATGTTTTCAGATAGACCGAATGAAAACATTTGTAATAACTATGTAAAGGTGTAAATATGGACATCACAGAAGCAGTGTGAAGTGAGACGTATTTGTTTATTACAATAAATAAACATGACATTGTTTTACATCAGCTGACTTTGACAGCTGGGCACTCTAGTGGTATTGCTCAACACCAGCAAGAATGCATCGTCTCAAATGTGTTAACAGCCGGTTGTGTTCTTGTCAACTTGGCAAAAACCTTCATGAAAACAAAATCATTTTTCACTTTATGGATTATATATGCTGTTATTGTACTATTTCTAATCCAGAAATAGGTTGCACTTTTCAAACAGTGAATGATTTATCATGAGCCCTGTGCCTTTAAGCTGCTGTATGAGGGAGCCATGTCTCTAAATCCTGAACATAATACCCTGAGCAGACTAGGAAAAGCTGTAAATCATGGCTCTGCTGCCTTGGCTTTTTAAGCTTCTCAATACTTTATGTTGACAAAACAGATGGGAGCAAACTGGGATCATTGTTTGATTACTGTTTGTTACAGTGATTGAAAGGTGAAAGTTATAATTTGTTTATTGAATCAGTAACTGTAGTTTTTGATTAAAAAAATACAAAAAACATCTCTATGAGAGGTTATTAATACAGGAGACATGAGCTAATACATTCGGCCCATGTGCACAGGCCTCTTACAGTCGTTTCTTTATCCATAACAGTTTATTTTTTTATTTTAGTAGTCCCCTGGAATTGCAGACAACATTAATATTTCAGCTTTTATTTCAGAACATTTGGAACTTTTGACTCTGTTGCACAATAAAACAAGGCCCCAGCCCCTTCAGTGTAATCATCAGGCCATAATGGGATACATTCCACTCAGACTGAACCTCTGTTGGGGTCTCACCCCAAAGACAAACCGCCTGCACTGTGTTTTCTCAGTGTATATTTTCTGTACTCCAGGATGCTTCATTAGGAACAGTGGGATCATTGCTCCCACAGTTTGGGTGGGCCCGGAGTCCCTGTTTAGATCTGAGCTCAGCTCTAACATAGCATCGCTGGAGGCCTGGGAACCAGTGGCGGCCATTATATAAGGGCGCTGCGGGCAGAGCCCCATCTGAGTTGCATGAGCAAAAAGAGATGTCTGCTGTCTCCCTGAAAATTATTCTCAAAGTAAGGAAATGGCACTATTATACAGTGCCATGAGAAAGTTTGGGCACCCTTGACAAATCCCAGTATTTTCATTCATCAATCATTGGGTGTTTGATTCCACAACTTACTTTTGATATATGAAATAACTCATAGACCCAATAATATTTCAGCATTGAAGTAAAGTTTATTGGGCTAACAGAAAATGTGCAATATGCACCAAAGCAAAAATAGGCCCATGCATAAATTTGGGCACCTTAACAGAAACATCACATCAATATTTAGTAGAGCCTCCTTTCGCAGAAATCACAGCCTCTAGACGCTTTCTATAGCCACTAATGAGTGTCTGGATCCTGGATAAAGGCATCTTGGCCCACTCCTCCTTGCAAAACAGCTCTAATTCATTGAGGTTTGAAGGTCCACGAGCATGGACGGCTTGCTTCAACTCATCCCACAGATTTTCAATGATATTCAAATCTGGGGACTGGGATGGCCATTCTAAAACACTGTACTTGTTCCTCTGCATGTATGCCCGAGTGGATTTTGAACAATGTTTAGGGTCATTGTCTTGTTGAAACATCCATCCCCGGCGCAACTTCAGCTTTGTGACGGACTCCTGCACATTATTTTCAAGAATTTGCTGATACTGAGTGGAATCCATGCGACCGTCAATTTTAACAAGGTTCCCAGTACCAGTACTCGCCACACAGCCCCACAACATGATGGAACCTCCACCAAATTTCACTGTGGGTAGCAGATGTTTTTCTTGGAATTCTGTGTTCTTTTTTCGCCATGTGTATCGCCTCTTGTTGTGACCAAATAATTCGATTTTTGTTTGGTCAGTCCACAGGATCTTATTCCAAAAGGATGCTGGCTTGTCCAAATGTGCTTTTGCATAGTTCAAGCGACTCAATTTGTGGCGACTGTGAAGAAAGGGCTTCTTACGCATCACTCTGCCATACAGCATTTCCTTATGCAAATTGCGCTGTATTGTTGACCTGTGCACAGTGACCCCATCTGCAGCTAGATCACTCTGCAAGTCTCTGGTGGTGGTCTGTGGGTTGTCTTTAACCATTCTCACCATCCTTCGTCTTTGCCTCGCTGAAATTTTACTTGGCCTACCACTTCTGGCCTTGACAAGGACTGTGCCTGTGGCTTTCCACTTTCTTACAATGTTCCTCACGGTAAACACTGACAGCTGAAATCTTTTGGAAAGTTTTTTGTAGCCTTCCCCTAAACCATACTGCTGGATAATCTTGGTTTTGAGGTCATTTGAAAGTTGTTTTGAGGCCCCCATCTTGCAGCTCTTCAGAGGAGAGTCAAAGAGAAAAAGAACTGGCATTTGGTCACCTTAAATAGCCTTTGTCATGATTGGATGCACCTGCCTATTAAGTTCAAGGCTTAATGAGCTCACCTGACCAACTTGGTGTTTCCAATTACTCTGTGATGATTAGTTACAGGTCTTCAAAGCAAGAAAATGTCAAGGGTTCCCACATTTTTGCACAGCCTATTTTTCACATTTGATTTAATTTCATACAAAAGAATACCACCAATACTTAAAATCAGAGTCTGCAAAACAACCCAACACTTGGCTCTGATGGGCAAATGAAGGACATGACACTAGGATTATTTTCTGTGGAGACAGAGTCAATTATTATACAACCTCAGACAGGGTGCCCAAACTTTCTCATGGCACTGTATTAATCATTCCATGAAATGTGTATTTCAGTCTGTTAGTGATCTCTCCACCCAGCGCCAGGGCAGACTCGGAACATCTATTGTCTCACGCATGCTCAAATCACAGTTGTGCATTAGCATAAGGGGCGCTACGGGCCAGCGCCCAAGCTTTCTGCTCCCTCACGCATGATCAGATCACAGTTTTTGCATTAAAAAGTTATCTTATCCTAGCCACATACAAAAA